ACCTGACTTCTCTCAAAGTACGTCTTCTGCTTCCTCGCCTCTTCACGAAAGGCCCTAAGTCGGTTAGCGCAGTACCTCCGAATGCGGACCTCGAGTTCCGATCACTCCTCCTTTTCAAAATAGGCGCTTCTCGATTTCCTGACTCCTCGAGTTGATTTGTAATCATTTTTGTTTATAGTAGTCGGGTTCATTTCAGATGTCGTCGACATTACGAGCTTCTCATATGGCCTCCTTCAAACAAGCCATCGGTGACCAGCCGTCAATATTTGATATTATTTCACAAGAAAGTCTTATGACGTCACTGAAACCGGCGATGGGGCATTTGGTTAAGGTGCGTACTTGACTATTATTGAGTTCCGTCATGGCCTTCCCCAATGATGTGATGGGTGCATAAGCTGTCTATGATTGGTGGGTCACTTGCAACAACCAATCGCAGGCAGGCCCTCCACCCTATCCACATTTAATGCCCTTATTTCACATAAATCAGTTTTATTTATTCTTCAGTTCCTGGCAATGGTGTATTCTCAACGATTCCAAACAGCACATCGTTATTATGATGAACTTTATTTACTTTTTGATCTCATCCTACAAAATCAATACCTCAAAAAGTATGGTCAGTTTCATTAGTGATTTTTCTGGAACTATCCCCAAACATGGTTGCATCCGGCTGGAGTTCATATGGCGTAACTAGAGCTGGAGGCTGTAGTCCGTGTGAAATGTGTGCGATTGGTGGTTCTCTTAACAAGCCAATCGCAGACAAACTTTGCCCTTACCTGACTCCGCCTTCTTTCAAAATTTATGAGAGTCAATAGTTTTATTATATATCCATTAAATGTATTTAGGTGCATCATTTTCGGAAAATTTTTATGGAATGAAACGAATTTGTTTCAAAACCGGAACTTCACCGAGTGAATTCAGTTCCAGAGTCCGGAATCTAATGCTACTAGTGAGTTTTCTATACTTTTTAACGGTTACGGTCTATAGTAATTTCATGAATTCTTCTACTTCAAGGTATTATGGCCGTATGTTCGAGATAAATTCGATAAATTGTACGAAGATTTGCTTGATCGATTACAATATACTTCAGCGGCGAATAAGGTGAACGAATGTTCTTTGCTTAATTTTCTTCTTCAGAAAGTACAGACCCTACCAATCTTGCTTTGGAGTTTATCGTCTTCTGTTTTCCTATTTGTGTCTACATGTGAACCGCCTGTGAGGCTATCGATAGGGTGGCATAATGGCGGTAGGCGCTGGGATGATCGAATTTGGACGCAGGGTCGTTTCTCATGCGATCATCTGTTACTCCCTTGAAATCGCGTTCTACTGNTTCTACTGAAACAAATTCGATCAGTCGAGTAGCCCATAGAAGTTGGGTGAATTTAACAATCTGTACCGCAGTGACGCCATTTCTGGAGGTTTCATAAATGGCATTTGATTTTTATGAGAATTAATTATTCGAAAATTATTTGAAAATTTATGGAATACCGCTACAGAAACTGTCATTTTTCAGATAAAAGATAAGCACATTTCAGAACCTACGAGTAAGATTAGGAAAGATTTTCCTCCGACTGTGGCCAGGGGTAAAGGGAATGCTCACGTTTGCGGCGACTATTCTTCAAATAGGGTGAGGTTTTAACTTTTCATGCTTATTTTCATTCATCTTCAAAACCAACCATGTACAGCAGGCTTACTTAGGTACATACTGAACCGAACAACAGTTCATTCTCCGTTCCTATTGTTGGCTGGTGTTCGGTTAGAAAAACTTACACAACAGGATATTGAAGCGTTCGACAAGGTTCCATTGCATCTACAGTCAGCAGGGTTGGCTCTATTTTTTCTCTTCGATTATAATTACCTACAACTTTACCTATACATCTATAACTCCATTTCCTTCGAGGAAAGCCACCCGTTTCGCTAGTTTCCCCAGGGAAGATGTAGCCTTTCTTCTCGAATAATGCCCCCATTGCATATGCACCTTTTTTGTCCTAGTACCTACTTGACCTTACTGCTTCTACCTTTTTCCAAATTTTTAAACCCTTATAGTATCACGTATATGTCGCTGCGATGTACGCTTCGCCCTCTACCCACCTCATAACCCTTCTCACTTTGTTGGACATATAATTACTCTAAATTCCAACACGCCCTCACTCGTCCCTTCTTTCCGACGTCCCGCCAGCTTTACAGCAGTTTGGACCACTGGAATTTTCCCCGAATGATCTTAATACCATTTCATGAGCAACTCCCATCGAATTGGCTGGTTCCTAGCTTCCAAGGTGACATTTTCTTGTTCCACTCTCCCCAATCGCTTTTGCGAACGCTCCGCCCCTTCAAGTACAGCTTTTTGATCGATATCTGTGATATCCACAGGTACGGATCAATTCTGATTTAGGGTTCTCAACCGTTTATGGCGATACTTCCTGGCTCTTCCTGGAGTCTTCTCCCGACTATTTGGCTATGGTCTATTTTTTATCCAATTTATCGACTTCATATATAATAGTGACCTCGGTTCACAACTAACCAAGAAACCTGCATTCGGTCGAATACCTCCAGCTCCTCACAGGGTATGTTGATAGTTTCTTGTTGATGGTACCTGGACCTCAATGATTCTTCAGCTTCTGACGGAATCCAGTGTACAAATGCTCGATACGAATAAGTGCCCGTTATGCCTACAACAGCGAACGAATGACACAGCATTGTCGGTGTCCGGATATGTTTTCTGTTTCAAATGCATCGAAAGACATGTGAAAGACTTCAAAACGTCAGTTCTCATTACTTAGCAATTTGTGTTTTCAACTAAATAAGTTCCGGCTGAGCAAAATTGTTGGTGCCACTCATGTTCCAGAGCGGGCCCAGAAATTTACCTCTGAATCTAGTATGTACTGGTCCTCCCTCTCCTCCTCCTTCCAGGCCATTTCAGATAGGAAAGGAGTTCGGACTTTATAAACTTCCTGAAGACAACTTGACCGTTGGTTGCTCAAAAATCCCCACGAAAGTTCCAGAAGGCGGGAACATAAATTAGAAAGTTTGGATATAAACTATTCCATGAATCACACCACTACCTACTATACCAGGGAGCAAAGTTGAGGCCAAAGTGTTGAAGTTCATAAAGTGGCTGAGATCAGCAACAAACCCTTGAGCTCAAGCACCCATTAGTCTCAATTATTAGCCTTTACCCCCACCTGTTCAAAAAAATGTACTAAATGCACTAAAAATCTACTGTTGTTCAGGTGTCCTGTCACGGGAATTCCTGCCAGTACAAGCGAGCTGATAAGACTTTATATTCAAGAATAGAATGCCTGCTATGTTCATACAATCCTGTCATTTTTACTGTTACATTTAATAAATCTCAATTGCTGAAATCTGATGAGACGTCAGTCATGCTGAAAGGCTAGCTGCATAACTGACACTTTAGCGAATATAAGCATCATGACAACTAATAAGTCACTGAAGCGCGCTGAATAGAAATCATTGGCGTTTCGCCAGCAATGGGCGGGCGTACCACTTATGAGGCGGTCCCGCCAAAAAAGATGAAGGAATCCAGCCTAGGAAGGATCTTCGCATGTAAGTCTGCACTGCTGAACAACCTATCAATAGACCCTATTCTTGAACAAGATTCCTCTTGTTCTGCCCTAGTTCCTCCAACGCCTAATCTGACACAAGCGTTACAAAGATGGACAGGGAAACGTGATTTTTTGTCGTATAGTCGGCGAATATTATATGTTCTCAGATTTGGGAAAAAAATGAAACTAATGAGTAACGGCACCATGAATTTGGATATCCACCTGCAATTTCAAATATCTCTTTTACACCTAGTAAGTGAGGTTCCATGTGATGCGAGAAGAAATATCAAGTTTGATGACGGAATACCATATTGATGTCAAACTGATATTATCATTATATTATATTAATTTATCGATTCGCATATTCCATCGGCAAACATGGTGATCAAAGAAAATGTCAGTGGACTAGTAGATTGTTCAAAGAAATGCTCAAACATCTCTAAACGCTCGAAAGCTGCGAACACTGATATGCCATCAATCAACTTGGTTCATAGGTGCATTTGCCGGCTTTGTTCGCATGACTTGAACTTTGAAAACACGTCTCCTAAAGACCTTTGCCCATCAAATTCTCCCATTTACATTGGACACCTTTTTGAAAAGTCTCGACGAGAAACGCTTGACAGAGAGACGGCGTATGGTCGATCATGGGTAACCACACCTGATTTTGCGCTGAGAAGTTACTGGTGTGGATAATGACAAAGTAACGATAAAATGAACAAACAGCCGTATTTACAGCATCGGGTTACAGCTCGGTGGCACGACGCCCTATTTGAATCAGTGACGGCAGAACGAGTAACGCCAGTGGCACGCGGCATTCGCAGCGCGGCGCGTGCGGCGAATCGTCTTGATCTATGGGTATGTACCCCTACCAAAATCGTTATAGAAACTTTCCTAATATCTATTTAGGCTTCTGGATTTCCGACAACGGTCCGCTCCTTCCCCGTACAAAATTTTACAAAAACTTTGATTCTACCAGCGGTTACCAAGCCTGTAAATAAGCAGCCGAATAGCATGCAGCACTAACAAAACACACAATCAGCAGCTTCATTTATTAGCCCCATTTTTGAATTTTGATCGAGCGAGTATGATGTAATTATAACGTTTTCTGGAAAGCCTCTGCTCTCAGTCATCATCACGTCTGCTAATAAGAACGAGTCAGTAATTGCTAGGTTAATCCGAAGGTGCTAACTATATATCAGACGTGTTTTCAGCTGTGACTTCAACAAACATGTCTCTCAACACGCTAAATGTTCCAGAAAAATTCTCCATTCTACTTTGCTCTGTTCTTTGCTGCCACTTATTGAGTGCCAAAAATGGAAAAAAAGTAAATATTACTTGTGCTCAGTAAAACTAAACTTTCACAAATTGTTTAATGGATCCATTATAAAGCAATATTTTTGCATGATCTTCCACATTTATGACGCTTGCGATTCGAAAACCCTTTACGTTTCCCTTACATCATTGTTCATTCCGAAAAACACTTTATGAGATAAAGTCTTGGGGCGTTGATCAATCCGAGAAATGCGCCCAAGCATTAGACTCCCATTTAGGATCATAGTGGCCGATTGAATGTGTATGTGGCCTATACAATGGATTAAGGTGGCCAGCCGATGTACAAGTCAGTGTTCTTATCCTCACAGACGAGTCTGAAACCAATTGACCGACAACGGAGGGATGGAAGGCTCGGTTGGCCTAGGCGAATATCGATAAGAGATTCGAACTCGTGACCATGTGTGTGCAATAGTGCGCCTCTTGCCACTGCACCACTTCCGCCCTTTTATGAGATAACCAGCTTAATTTTTGTTGTAACTTCCGAGGCCGATTGGTGTAAACAATGTTTATATTTTCGTGATTTTTTACATAATAGGAGAAATGTATAATCATGCACAGAAGCTAGTAGTCAGAAGGGCCGGACAGATATGGTTAGAAGGCGTTGAGTACGATATTCGTATGGGGGATAGGAAAAACATAGTAGTTGACAGCCGATCTCCCCTCTCAAAAGCCGAATGCCAAAGGAGTGGGTTGGACCCACCAGCGGAAGAACTGTTAGCCGCGCCGTCATACTTTCACATGCGCTTTAAAGACAAATTGATTCTTAAGATTATTCCCCATGATGAACCTGCAAGCCCCAAGGATAGCACAAGGTAGTCGAAAAACAACCCAGATAGGGCGTAGTAAGAGCCCCAATACCGACTCATTCGACGTGCACACTAGTACGCACATTATCAGGGCGTTGTAGAGGCTACAGAGTGTACCATTCGCGCCAGGGCCCACAAGTTGCACGCAAGCAGCTTACTGTAGCCATCCTTACGCAAGGACGTAAATAATCGGGCAGCCGGTCCAAATAACTCTCCCGTGCAACATTTGGCGTCACATTCCCGTTCAACTCTTAATTTTATCTCCTATTTGAAGGCTTGTATTTCTCTAAATACGCCGATTTTCGCGTCTCCTTCGCCAATTTCGCACTATTTGAAGTGTATCTTCCAATGGTCTGAAACTAGCTACACTGAAGTTATTCTGACAAACTTAATTATTCAAACATAAAAGATGGTGTAAAGCTGTCAAAAGGAGTGAAGCTTTCAATGTATTTCCATATTTTATTAATTCGTTGCAAAATTCATAGGACAAAATCATGGCCATTGAGTGCGAACCTTATGGGGCAGTTTTTCAGTAATATTGAGGTGACATAAGTAAAAACCGCTATCGATGATTGATTACAATTTACCTGTATGAAAGATTACCCATTCGATTTTTACCTAAAATTTGATATGGAAGAATCTAGAAATTCATGAATAATGATGGTGACATTTGACTCTATCTAGGCACAATTCCCATCCAAGTGATCCGATAGCAGTGAAACCCACAAGTCGCCATCGGTCGAAGGATGCGACGCGGTCGCGAGGAGTTTTCAGTACTCGTTGACTGGTATGTCACAAAAACACAGTCACTGAAGGCGACCGTGCTGAATCCTCGATGTCCAGCATGTCCCATTGCTGTCGGAATCAAACATAGAACTAAGCATTATCGATCGATCGCAACAAGACAACTTTCACAGGAAAGAAAGGAAGTGGGGAAGTGTGGGATGTTGATTTTTACGTTCAGGCAGTTTCATCCTTGACAACAATCGGGCGTCCACCGTTTCTACTGGCGATGATATTTCGAGTGACGATAAAAATTGCCAGAAGATGACAGATATTCACGAAGATCATCGTGCATCGGTACAGGTTCAGAGTGAAGCATCGCCGAACATTCTCTCTGAAAAACTGGTAATTAAGAATGTTCGGACATTTTTGTTGTAGACATTTTAACGAAAGAAACTTCTTAGTTGGCTGCTATGCGAAGAATGGGCGAATTAGAATTTCAACAAGATTTTGGCGATACTTCACTGATTGCTAAGCCGAAACTTAGTTAAGTTCTGAAGATCCGTTTTCTATGATGCGAAGGGAATGCCAATATCTTTTCACAGCTTCTCCCGTCTCTATTACTGTCACCACCGTGCTTTTAATTTCTTCAAAAAAGCCCCCTGTCCATCGCTCGGGAACCCCTCTGATAATCTCATCTCGTCCTGCTGTTTATCGATTTCCACGGGCGCGCGCCGGTAGAATCACCTTCCGATCATCAACAGAGGTCCCTTAACACTTAAGGGACATGAGAAACTAATTTTTGTCATTTTGAGCTTTCACGAAGCACTCTGAAATCGGCCCAAAGGTCATTCTGCTGTTTGTGTGACGTCCTGAATGATCTATTCGGTAATCATTCTGTTCCAGGGGCTATCGAAAACTCGTCCGACATGTCCGGCCACATCAACCTTATTTTTAAGGCCTCTTCGTAAACTCGAGTATCGTCCGGTTACAGTTTGAGGGAAATCTTCAAACAAGAGTCGCGCTGGAGATTTGAATGGGTAACCTTCCGAGCAAGTAAAAGTAAGTAACGTTGAGTAGTGAAATCCGTAAGTGACAGGGTGGCACTCGTGGCTACGAGATAAGATATACTTTCAACGTTAGTAACCGGAAAACCCCACGTAGTTTGCTGAAAGGGTCCAAATGGAGTAGGTAACCAATAGCTGGTAGGTCAAGTACAACAAATAAACAAAAAAGATGATTGAAACTGCTTCTTAGAAGGTTCCAAAAATCTTGCACACCATCCTGTGAGGGCATATAAGTCATGTGAAAGCATTTTTCTGAATAGTTACTTTCTGTACTCTAACGATGAGCTATATATTGTATTCTGTCACCCATGCTTCTCGTCTCAGCACTCGGGCAATTCTATTAACATACTACTAACAGTAGATGGCTAGATAAATAGATAAATTAGCAAATAAGCAATCAGATAATTGCATAAATAAATAATGACAGATGGCACCACATTCCTCACCTCTAACACATTTCTAATTTTTCGATATTCTCTCCCTACTAATCAGCATTCACCAGCTGTTGAGCTATTTACAAACTGCAGGTGACACTTTTTCATTCTTGAAAAAGGCGAGCGGAATATCGTTTTCCACTTACAATCAGCTTAAAAAGTGGGTGAAGGTGGACCAGCACCAAGTGGCACTACAATGCTCACGGGGTTCGAGGATCGAATCCCGGATCGATATTGGCCCAGCCCAAACCAAGCCTCCATCATATCGAGGTCGATTTATTGTTACCAAACCGTCTGAAAATATAAAAACCCTGGCTTGTACATCACCTGGTCATGGCAAGTCATTGTATAGGCCCCATACGGGTTCAAAATGCCATTACGATTTTGAATGGAGTTCGAATGCGCACTCCAAAACGGGAACGATCAACATCGAAATTCATTTTCAGATTGAGAACATTTGGGACAACATTGTGCAGGACGCACTTTGCGTTACATTACTTGTACTTCCAAAAATAACAGGTAATCCGCTAAGTACATGAAAAATTCTGCCAAAAATCAGAGTCGGCGTCTCGTTTTTGTTGTTTCTGTTTAATGACTCAGAATCTAGTAGTGTCTATGACTTCTAATCTGCTTATTAATGATAATGAAGTCTTTGATGACAACATAATTAATGAATGCCTAAAGTTATCCATCACTACTCAACCAAAATACTTCTGAGTTATTTTCCCTATTCATGAGTATGTATACGCTTCCAAAACATCATTCCGCAGTATAGTTATAGTTATGGAGTTTTTTTTTTCATGAAATATTCATCCTTAATGATGCAAGCTTAATGATTTGGATCAGGGTACCTCTAAAAATTTCTGATAATAACATGCATGGGAGCTCGGTAACAACTTTCACGACAGCAGGGCAGCAGGAGAATAAAATTAATCATTCGGGAAGTAGTTGTGGGATCGAATCCCTGGTTGATACCCACTCGTATCACGCAAGTCTTCCAACCCTGCGAGGGAGACTCAACCGGCATTTTATCTGCAGACTCCGCACTTTTCTATCCTCGTTGCTTTTTTTGGGATTATGTCCACACAGCAGGGGCTATCTCTGTCTATCGTAATATTCCGCATCCATATGCAATGCCGTTGTACACAAGCTAAGGTTCAGATTTCATTCACATCCAGTGTACGTGCGTTATGATGCCAATGCCTCACGTCCTCAGCCTACATTACGACGAGTCCACTTTCGATGAACGAATTGCGATGCACTGGTTTCGAGTTGATAGCGGTAGGGAAGAAAATTTTGGGAAAACGGGAGTCAGGGCACATTCACATTCACATCGGAAAGATCAGACATCCCAGCCAAAGTTAACTGCCGATAGCCACAGCCTTATTGGTAATCCCTTTGCGATTCGTCTTGGATGAGTTCCGACATTCTCGGCATCGGTATGTCTTGGTTGAACGGGTGAAGGCCACGCTACCTTGACAGACCTGTATTTACTTGCTACCTTTACTAAGGATTCGAAGGAGTCGCATGTTATAAACCAGTTCATATAAAAGTCGCATAATGCACCAAAAGAATTTGCGCAAGTGAAAGAGGATGATTTTAGGTTGAGCACTGAGTTTTGGGAATTTTTCAAAGTTCCATCTATTTCTAGATTGGTGGTAGGTAAGCGAGTCAGTTGGAATTCTACAAAACGGATCAGCTTAGATCAGCGTGGTCCTGTCCCTGTCAGCCGTATCTTTGGTATCCTGCTTGGTCTCAACCAGTTCATGAAAAATTTTCGTGTTTTGCTCAACTTCCACAAAATATCGTTTTGGCTTCTACGCATTCGGCTTATAAGAGGACAGTACGGATCAGTCGATATATGGCTATTTATTCTCATCATCTCGAAAGAGTCTGACTTATGTGGGTGGTCCAGGAGTTGATTACCTAGGATTCAGTTTTGCGCAAAAATTGGTCCTAGAGACCAACTAGTTAAATCACGTACCTGTAGTCATGCTTCGGATTCAGTGGAAGGCATGGCCAGAAGAATCGAAGTTTTGTGAATTTCACCAGTCCCCAAGAAAGGGCGACCAGCTTGATACATGAGCCGAAGAAGACTGGTCCTGCTAATGACAGTCGCGGCTCATTCGTGAACAGCACATTGAGAAGTGCCGGCAAAGGCACCTAAAACTGGTTGCATTCAATTGAAAACTGAAAATTTTAGAAATGAGTACAAATTTCAGAGTACGGTGCGTTCGGTTTCCGACTTTCGGTTTTCATCTAATTCCTTTGTCACACTAGATTACACTTCAAAGTCCAGTTTTTGCGAAGGGAACTGGGATGACACGACTCTTATGCATAAAAACCCACCCAGCAATTAATCACTTTTTGAGAACTTTCGTACTTTAAAAAAAAAGCCGTTGCTGATACCAAGGGCGATCGATATTCCTTGCGCCAGCATTTTTACAATCAATTTTCAAGTCCACAGAAAATCTACCATGTGGGAGCTAATTTGTTTGATTAGGGCGCATTTTTATCCTACCGTATTCTGCAGAGAAAGTGACGTGCCTATCGCATTGTCACTTCCGCTGTCTGTGTCACTCGATTATAGCTTAGTAGCCGGATTTCAGAAATTCTTAATAATTAAATCTGTATTCCGATCATCAGAAACATGCTTACACATATGCCAAGATATAATGGGTCTTAAGTAAATGCTTACTGTACCGACTCGTCCAGTCATCTAATATAACGGTAGGTAGTCTGTGGGTAGCAAATAACTACTTCTGTGATGTAGCACTTTGCAGTTTCTGTCACAAACACTTCTGGGTAGCTCGTTCTTCGACGGCGCTCCCATCGTGAAACTCCCTTCTATCACCTTGTTGTCTGACCCTTTTGCTGCAGCCATCTCATTTTGCTCTTTGGTGAGTTTTCAAACATTTTACGCCTATACAATGTTTAAGAAGTACTCATTTTGTGAGGTAAGCCTCAAAAACAACAGGGTCCGATTTTAGTTGATAACTGACGATTTAATTGTGGGACACTGTATTGGGGTAGTAGCTCCAGTAGTAAGTTATTTGCAGACATGTTTATCAGGACCTTCCTGCTAGCATACTTCAAAGGAGGAGACCTCCCCCCCTCCTTGACCCCCCTTGAACTTCTCCATGATTTCTATCCCTTCTACCTCTCCAATTTTCACCAGGGCACGGGCCTATATCAGCTTCTCGAATTAACATCCCTATTCTGTTATTCTGTGGTACTTCCGGCAACATACGCCTTCTTATCGAACAACTGAATGGAGGGCTAAAAAATACGGTCACAAGTGAGATTTTTGGGGCGAATATCGAAGAACTTTACTGTTACGACCCTCTCTCCCTGAACTTCTCCGAAATTTCTATCCCTTCCACTTATCCGAAGCACGAACCTGTGTCGTTTCTCAAACCAACATTCATAACGAGGCCCTCTTATAAATATGTCCCTACTCTCTCCAAGTGGAAAACTATGACCCATGAAGGTTTGAAGTTCGTGCCCACGCTCCATCTTCTGCTTAAGTTGTTTAAAAGTTGGAGAGTTGACTGTGAAGAGGTTTAAATCTTCCACAAACACTCCTTACCCCTTAACATAACGGTTCAAATCTTACGACCGAGTTAGCTGCTTAGGGCAGGTACACATTAGGGAATGGGAGAGTGTGGACAGTTGTGCATAGCGTACAGTTCATGACGGACCCATTCTGAAAATGACTTTGTGGGCACAATATGCACAGCCTTCTGTTCGAGAAAGGGAAGGAAGAAATGGAGTCTCCAATGCAACTCTCAGTCGCACTTTCGGATCTCCTAAATATTTTTATACTGAAATCTCTTTATTTCTAGTTGAGGTCTCACGGTAGAGCTGAACCAAAATATTCTTTCAACAACTAAAGATTGCTTCGAAGCAAAACGAAAAGACCGTGCACGAAACAAGACTGTTCGGATTCGGCCGATTAGGAGGCTTACATTGGGTTAAGTTTGGAAGGTGTGAACCATTAGGGTGACCAGTACAGATGTAAACTAAAGAGAAAACGTTTCAGTGTTCATTGAAAAGCTCGAAACTAAGTTATGTGATGTTCACAGGGAACCTGGCAAAAAACCCTATGCAAATGATTGAAGTCCAATATTCAATAGTTACTGCCTTCGTGTGAGCCGATTGAATGACCGATGACTCAGAGTACCCACAGCCACAGAACATTTCTTCACAACACCTAGCCCAATCTTTCATCAAATAGATATCTACGGAAGGATTCATACTCTTTGGATGCATTTTTAGAAAAAAAATGTCAAAAAATACAGCCTCATGCCAACGGCTATGTGAAATTCCATATGAGAACATGGAAAAGTTCCTGCTTTGCACGGAAGTAAGAAAAACGCCCTCATGATTTGTAGCATTGGGCTTTGGCAAGTCTTGAAAAAACCCCATGCAAGAAATTCGGCAGCTACTTGCTCTCAGTGTGTGATAATTGAAGGATTGGCGACAGAGGGAGCATCTGTCTGTCTGCTGCCGGCGCGCTCGCCCACACCAACTTGTGGTGGGTTCATGGGCCACTTTGTAGATCGCGGGTTATGAGCTTGTTGTGCCTCGGAGAATGAATCAACTCCCTTNCAACGACCCACTTTCAGAAGAAGTTGGTAGTTAAGCAATCAAACAGGGGATAACTTCAAAATGATATCAAAACTTTTCCAACAACTGACCTCTTCCAAAGCCAACACGAGACTCTTGGCTAGTCGTGCATAGAACACGTTTTCTTCCTCATATTTCAGTGTTTGACAAACATCGACCATTTCAAAAATGTACACAAATACCGATACACCAGTGAAGAAGAAATATCCATAAGCAGCAATTATTGCTATTCTACTGTGAAAGTTTCCAAGAAATTCTGCGATCCTGCAAAATATTTCAATAAGTTTATCCACTTCCGTGGACACTTCTACTTTCTTCCATACTCGTAAGTAATATGGGAGTGAGTAAATGTTAAAAGTGCTCAGAACTGAAAGACGAACACCCCTTGAGAGTTTCCCCTGCGACGATAGGCAATAACAGAGCGATGGCCGCTGCCGTATGTCTCTTTCTTCTTGGCGGAAACGGCCAGTGAAAAACTACTACTATCAAAGAAATTGAGGAGTAGTAAAGGTTGTAGGGCGGTAGAGCTCTCACAAAAAACTAGGAAAAAACATTTTGTTCACCAGAAAGACGAACTGGATGTTGTTACCAGTTCTGAGTTCAGAATTTTTGCCCAGTCGATCCTACTAACGTAAGCTACTAAGGAAATTCCACCAACTATGTATCTAAATACGAGCTATCGCATTCGTGCCCTCTTCCGAATTCCTTTATTCAAGAAATAGTAGTAATAGTTAGTAATAGTAGCATATCTTACTTAACTGTAACGTAAAAGCCGAGTTTTCAGACGTTATGCTGAATAAGCTGACCGAAAAAACTGTGGAAGCACTAGTAGTGAAGCTATTACACACCCTTCCTGGCAGTCAACTT